TGAATTATAATTAGTTCATCTCCAAACTTATCTACTCGGTTTATCTCTCAATGTGTAAGATCTAATGTCTATTAATTTATTTTTATTTAATGATAATATAACTAATCAACTTCTCGTATCCAAAATTAATATCACTCAACCTTTTATTATGCCGAAACTTAATGCACCGCATAGTTTAACATAAAGAACGTCTTCAGCTAATTTCGAGGACGTCATTAACCGGCGCACGGGGATACAATGACTGTGAATAATCTCACCAGAACATACTGCATATAACATTCAATACCTAGTCACCCACTCTATTGATCTAGTCATTGGATCGTGTTATTGTAATTGTACACACGTTTGTGAGTGGAGTCACCTTTTCTTTGTTCATTAGACTTTAATCACAACACTCTTGTTATGCTTTATTTCTCCTATTTTCTTCTTTTGATGTTTAGTTTCACAAATTTCATGGCCCAATCTGATCCCGGTTACACAAGTCATGTTTGGCAATTAGCTGTTAGCAGATTGAATTAACCGATGACGAGTAGTTGATTGAATTAGTTGATAGCGGATAAATAACTGAATCAACAATTTTGACTAACAAATTAAATTAGCTTACTATGTAAATAGTTTGGTAAATAATTAGTTGTTGATTATGTACATAGTTTGGTAAGCAATTAGTTGTTTATAAGTAACAACATATTGACATGATTGGTACGAGGGAATGACACAAGAATGAAATGATCATTCCATTCAAGTATTATTCCTTATGCGTACCAAACACATCAATTAAAAACTTGTTTCATTCATTTCTCATATTCATTTCATTATTTAACTCATTCTATTCCTATCAAATTCTATTCCATTTAAATCTCTTCTAAAAGGTTCGTATTTTGTTTTTTAGTTGATCTTATCAAATAAATCATTTCCAACTACTACTTACAATGCAATTAAATTAGATTCTTAACCAACTGACCGACCATTGGATAGCTAATTGATATATACGAGGATAACTCATTGATACGAGCATTCTCGAAACTAGTAATACATCTAGTGAACATACATAAATTACACAAAAAAATAACACAAACTTCTTATACAAAAGGAATACTAAAATCAAACGCTATTTAATGTCTCACATTTATAATTGAATTGTTGCATTAACTAAGTAAGTTATTCAATAATTAATACATCTTAGCTTAGTTTTTAAATTTTTAAAAAGATAATATACATGTGAAATTTTACATACACTTATGACAATTGTTGTATACAATAAATAATAGTATAACTTTTTGTATACTTTGAGCATTATATTAGTAATTATCATAACAGTACCACCAGAGGGGAAAAATATGAATTTAAAATAGTTATACACCACACAAATCAAAAATTTTAAGAGATTTGCCGTGTAAATTATATTAATAATTAACTATGTAATAAAATACATGTACAATATGAATTATTTCTTTTAATAGTTGTTTACATATAATTTGATGTCTAATTTTTTAAATAAATTTACATTTGAAAAAAGAGATAATAAATCTATATATATAATTACTAACTAATGCATTTAGTAAAACATTTAATAAAACCTATTTTCATTTCCCTCCAAAAGGAGTTACATTTTTTTAATTAATTATTCACTAATCTGCTAAAACCGTTATGCTTATATATATATAATTTTATTATTTATTTGTTCGATCAGTTACTAAATTAGTTACAAATTTGGTAGCAAAATATTCAAATGTGTAACGGCTAATGTTGGAACTTGAAGTTGATTGGCATATTCAAAGTTGTAACCGTTATATTTGGTTGCATTGTTGGAAGAAAAATATGAGTGACAGATTTTTATTTTTTATTTTTTAAAAAAAAAATCAGAAACACCAATAATTTTTTTATTTATGTTAATTTTCTTAATATATGCCACAAATATATATATTATTTTATTCATGTTACTAATATAAACGTTGCATGGTTAAAATAAAATTTAAATCTCAATTAATTTTGAATGATAAAAATAACTTAAGAAAAAGTAAAAATTTTATATGATAGAATAAGTACATGTCTAATTAATAAATACAAACATAAACGTTGTTTTATATCTGTGCAAATGCACATGATCAAATACTAGTATTATATTATAATGGTTTCATCATATTAATTATCATTACCAATATAACAATGACACACTAAATTAGTAAAACATAACAGTAACAACTTTTATTGAATACTACAATATTTATTACAAAATTAAATATATAAACTGTAAACACAAAGTAGTAAAGAAATTATTATAATGTAATAGCCTTTCTCTTCGCTACTTACCAGTAGACATGGCCACGGGTCAACCGGCCCGCCGACTCGGCGGCCCGGACCTGGCCCGGCCACGGCCCGGTCAAACCCGTTGACCACGGGTTCGGACCCGGCTCGGATTTCATCCGGGCCAATCCCGGGTCGGGATTTATTTGACCATGACCCGACGGGTCGGGCCGGGTCCGGGCTGGGTCAGGGTCGACACGAAAAAAAAGTATGGTTTTTGAAATTTTCTTTTTTTTTTCCTTTTTCTTTATAGGGACGGGTCCAGACCCGGGCCGGGCCGGACCGGGTAGTGACCCGGCCCGAATTTTGGCCATGTCTACTTACCAGTCGATTAAATTAGAAGTATGACCAACTTGGGTATTAGACTATGTTTATCCGTGACCCCGCTGTTGGGTCACCGAGAAAAGACAAAAAATTTAAAAAAAAGGAAAAAATCATCAAATATGGCTACCCAGGTCACAATGTGATCTTGGGTCGCGACCCGGTTGTTGGTTAGGAATGAGACAATTGTCAATTTTTATTAGACAAGTATATTTTTTTTTGTTAAAAAAATTAAAAAAAATACTAAAATTCATATTTTTTCATGCTCTACAAATAAAAATCACATTTGATATATTTTGGAATACAATTATTTATTTTAATTAAACTAAATTAAATAAATATTTTAAGTTGAGTTGAGTTGGGGATAAAAATAAATTGAGTTGAAATGTTAGGTTGAGTAGGTGAAAGTGAGAGAAATAATTTTTAATTATTAGGTTGAGTTGAGTTGGGTTGTTGATAAAGATAGTCTTAATGACTAGCTAAATGGAACAAACATTTTTTTTTTTTT